ATATATATATATTAAAAATATTCATTTTCTGTTATATTTTGAGTCAACTTGAATTCTCAAGCAAGCCAGTTAAAACTTGAAATTATTAGAAACTGATTTCAAGTTCGAGACGGAGCTAAAAATCAATTTGATTCAAGTTATAGTAAACAACTCACTTTGATCTGTTGGTTAGAAGCTTAGGCTATCAACTAAGTGGTTTTGAGTTCGAGTCTTGTGTATGCGATGTGTGTACGAGTCTACATTTTTGGAGCAATTTTTTGAATTTATGATTATCTCACCAGTCATGGTACATATTCACAATTAAAGCAGTTCTCTTTTGTCCAATCAAGGACAGCATAATTGGGAGTAGCCCTAAAAAATCATTTTCTTTGGAAGTTCAACTTACGAAACTGATGATGAAACATGTAATTTTTGCAGGTGGCTGAAAGAATAGGAGTCAGGCTCTGAGGAGTTAACTCAGTGGTCCATTAAGGCTTTGTTTGGGACGGCTTTATTACTGCTTTGTAAATTTATTTTTTTGTACAAAAATTAAAATTTTTATACCAGAAAGTTGCTTTATGAAGCAGAAAGAAAGTCGTCCCAAACGAAACCTAACTTGTACAATGTCTCAACTTTTTCCCTGCGAAATCTACTGTAGAGTTTATGCATAATAAGTAATCAAAGCTTTGGACATGGCGTCCTCTTTTTGCATCCAATCGGATGTTGGAAAGCCAGTTTGAGATGCGTCTGTAAGATCCAAAAGCACCTAACTTTCTGCATGTTTTCAGTATTTATTTTCATTTGTTTTTGAATAAGATTGCTAAAACATTAGAGATTTTATCTTCCTTTCAATAAACTGCTCCAGTGTAGTTGAGTTGGAAGGTTGGTATCATGCTGTATTGAATAGATTGAAAAGCTAAATGCCCTCTGCACATTTCTAGAATGATCTTTGAATAATTCTCATGCATGTGGTGATGCCCTTATGTTTTTCTCTTATTTGAATTTTACTTTGCTTTATTAATAGCTAGCTGTGCCTCTCATTGAAGATTATTTAATGGTTGATGAAAATTTGCTTGTGCGCAATCTTGGGAGAAGTTTAGGTTTCATTTGAGATAGTTTTCTTATTGTTTCCTAAAGCAGCTTTTCAGTACAAAATTTTTTAGTTCAAAAATTTTTTGTACAGAAAGACGTTTTAGTAAGCAATAAGAAAGTTATCACAAACGAATCCTTAGTGATTAATCCTCGCATGACATGCTGGCAAGGTTTAAGTTATCTTCTTGTGTTATTCTTACCAAAAACCCTAATCTATCTCAAGTCTTCCCTCTCTTCCTTTAAAGGCCCACACCTATACTACCCTTCCTTACCTCTCAACCAAATCCAAATCATGACAAACTTGAGACATTCCCCTCATGCTCCTCCACAAATGAAGCCCATCTTTACACCTTTCAACCTCTTCTATAAGCCCTTCATCATCTAACTGAATTATCACCAAATTCCTTTTCAAGCTTGCATCATATCAATGCCAATAATAACAAAAAATAAAAGTTCCTGTTAGCCATATAGATCCTCCCAACCACAAACCCATCAAATTTAAATTTTATTTGGGACAATTTTCTTATTATTTTTTGAAGTAGCTTTCTAGTTAAAATTTTTAAGTTAAAAAAATATTTATATTAGGAAGTTATTTTATAAAATAATAAGAAAGTTATCTCAAATGAAGTCTAAGTATTAGAGCAAAAGAGGCTCCACAAGACTTGCAGGTGTTGCAATTCCTCAACATCAAACTTTATAGTGCTAAAGCACTTCTAAGGTTGGTAAGGATTTAATTATTTATACTTATTCTTATTGGTTAATGATTTTTTTTTGTTTTTCTTTTTGTTATTGATAAATGATAGTTTGTAAAGCAGCCAACATTTTTCTTGAAGTCATTTTATCTTGTTTGTGGATTTATGACTCCTACAACAACAACAATAACAACATCAAGCCTTTGTCCCACTATGTGGGGTCGGCTACATGAATCTTTTTTGGCGATTGTGTTTGGTTAAAAGTCAAATTCTCATTTAGAAAGATCATTTCTAATTTTCTAACCAAGTCTTTTTAGGTCTACCTCTACATTTCTTAATATAAGTCAAATCTAATACCTCAACTTTCCTAACTGGGTCATCGGAAGGCCTCCGTTTAATGTGACCAAACCATCTATAGTCTTTGTCCCACTATCTTGTTTGTGTCTTGCTTACTTTTTTGTAAAGTTGTATTTAGTACACAATTTTTTTGATAATAGGAAAAAAATAGTGATCTAAAGTTGTTTTAAACGAAACCTTAAGATGACTTAAATTTGAAAGCTTTACAAGCTATGACAAATCAAGGGGGGGCTCCTGATTTTCCTTAAGCTTATTTAAATACAGAAAATTAAGAATAAAGCTTTTAATATTGTTTTTATAAATTAAAGGTTTTTTTTTTCGAACTAACATTTTGAACTTCTAATTAATTTTTTTTGAATTTATATCAAGGCTCTTTATTCAAGCTAGCTAGAAGAAGATCTCTTATCCCTTGATTCCATCTTGAACCAATGATTATGATCTTATAATTTTGCCTTCATAATTTGCTTGATATTCTACAACAGCTCTTAGGAATCTATTTGGACTCTACTCTATATAGGGCTGAATTTCAAATTAATCTTTAATAATTCCTGGATCAAGCTTTGCTAAGACTTCCTTCATGACTTATACGCCTTCATTATGTTGGTTATTCTTCTATTTAATTAATAACATGAACTCATTAGTATCACATGTAAGCACTTCTATAATGATTAATTCAACTTCTAAGATAGTAAATGGTGAAGGTACCTACAACTACTAAGACATATCTCATGCCAAGGTGTCAACTTCTTCATTTGAATGTTAGTTTACTCCTAGTAGCTATCTTAGTTTAAGGCTTCGTTTGGGACAACTTTTTTGTTATTTTTTAAAATAACTTTCTAGTATAAAAAATTTTCAAATTAGAAAATTTTATATTAGAAAGTCATTTTAGAAAACAGTAAGAAAGATGAACCAAATGAAGCATAAGTGTGAATGGATGAAGAAAATTTTAATTTAGTGGTAAGTAAGGTAGACATATTGGATTTGGCTTATTTTATGAAAGGTAGAGATATACCTAAAAAGATTTGGTTAGAAAATATTAGAATGACTTTTTCTTTATTAAATTTAAATGAGAATTTAACACTTAAAATGACATAAAGGAGAAGAAAAGGTTTGTGCAGTTGATCCCACATAGTGGGATAAAGGCTTGTTGTTGTTGTTAAGTAACTTTCATAATATTAGAGAAAAATCTCAAATCCCTATCTAATATTATACTAGATGGTAGGCCATACAATCTCATTATGTCTCAAAAGAAAATACTTGCCTCATATGTTGCATTATTGATCTCTAAGCAATGAGAGAAATAGGTCATTTTGGAGGATCTATTTATTACCATAAAAATGTTATCATGCCCTTTTCCAATCATCAGTAATCCTAAAATAAAATTCATTAACAAATCCTTTCAAGGTTTATAAGATAGGTAATGTAGTGTATTTTCCTATTCTTTGATTAGTGGCTTAGACTTGTTCATAAAACACTAACTTTTGGATATTCTTTTTTAGTGAGAGCTAATAAATCTAGTCTTTATCATTTCTATGGTTTTATCCTTATGAAAGTGGTTGGCTATGCATTAGAATGTAGCTCAACAATGACAAGTTTCCCAAGGGATGACTCCTTTAACTTATTGCCTCCATCATATCTCAACACTCTTAGACAGCCTCCTTTCAATGATCATTATCTATAACATCATTTTTATCCAAGGTCTTACTTTCGCTTCCCTCTGTCCATTTATGGGAGGAGAAGAAAAAGATATAATGTGACAAATTTTAATTACTAATTTGAAAATTCTCTTTTTTGATTGAACATGACATAAAAAAGAATATATCATCTTAAAAAAAATTATATAATATATTCAAACTTAAATAGAGTTTAAGATATTTTAATATTTTCTTATAATTTTTCCCAACCTAATATGTGTAAGATATGGTTTATATTATTCTAAAGTACATGTTCTATACTAACTTGAAAAAAAAAAAAAATAAACGAGAGAATTCTATAGAAGCATTACAGTGCAACGTTTTTGGGCGTACCAGAGTTAAGAAGTGATAGAAAGTGACGTCTCAACGCCGCAGTTCTATGTTCTACAATAATTTTGGAATGACATGCAACACAACAACTCTTGGTCACTTGTCACTAAAATGAATTTTAATATATATTAAATAGTCATATGCTCCACTCTCTCCCTCAATTGCTGGCTTTTCATGGAAGGAAAGGGAAAAGAGGAGAGGGGAAGGAGGAGAGAGGAAACATAGTTTTTGGCTGTTGATTCATTTTGCAATTTTTACAAAATATCTTCAGATCATTATAGGTGACTGCTATCATATTTTTGTATTCAAAGATTTTGATTTTCACCGTTTGATTTTTCCAAAATCAAATTTATTATATTTTTTCCTGATTTAGTGAACTTCCACTTCAAAACTTTTGATATGTTGTAGTGTTGATGATTCTAGTCATTTTGATTGGTTGGTTTTGTATTTTCATTAATTAAAATAATACATTGCATTCTTTACGATTTGAATAGGAATAGTAAATTTGGCATTTTAATACAATTATATTGTTCATACGAACATTGTAAAAGAATGTGGACATGTAAATGAGTAATAGTTGGTTGTTATTACTTTTTTTAATATTATGACTTTAGTGTGTATGGAAATAAGTTAAGGTTGTTTATTATCGAAGTTGGATGAAGACTAATTTATACCTATATAGGATTGTGGACAATAAGCTTTTCTTTAAATATTATGATTTGTGGTAACATCCTTTACAGATTCACGTGATGCATTGATTTAGAGTTAGAAAGAGTTAAATATTGTGCCGGCAGGTATGAGAGATGAGTCCATTTACTGAAAAGCAACTATTACTGATTTATAATTATTGATTTACTATCATTGAAAAACCACCACATGAATCAAGACTCCTTGTTTAGTATGATTTCTTAGTTATGTTTTTTATTTTTTATTTTTTTTATTTCTTAGTTATGCTTTATTGTTTTGTTTAAGTGCTACTAGGGTTTTTGGGTTGGGTTTGGGTCCAACCCAAAAATGACCTACCACTAACTATCTCGACTTGGACCTGACATAATTAGGGAAATAAGCCACATAATTAAACCCAATTTGAATTTAGGTCGACCTAACCCGATGTATTGACTTAGACGAGGGTGCCCATGAGTGTGATGAGTGGGTGTGCGGCGGGGCTAGCAGCCGAGTCGAGAGTATATACATTAGGGCGAGTGGGCACGAGCAAGCATGAGTGAGGCTGAGCATGTGCGGGTGACCGCGAGCGTGATAAGCGGACAGGTGGGTGAGGGATTTGATTTCAGGTTTTTGGGTTGATACAAATTTGTAATCGAGTCAGGATTTGAAATCTGACCCCAACCAGTTTTTCACATGGGTTGACCCGATCCAAAAATTTTTGGTCAGGTTCAAATCGAGTTTTTGGGTTGTGTGAAATATTGACACCCATAACTGCTAGTAATATATTGTTATTATTTTATTGTTTTGTTACAACTGATCCACTATTACTGTTGACTTATTGTTATTAAGCATATACTTTTCATTATTGATCATGTGATATAAGATATTGATTTGATATTGACATAGAATAATAGAATATCATGTGTAACCCCTATATAATTTTTTGATGGTACTACATTGTCATGGATTTTTTATAGTCTAAAGATACTTCAGTTTTATTGATTTATATAATTTCTTTATAAATTGGATGGCACTACTATAATGCTTGATTTGAGAATGATGGTTAACAGCTTTATCAATTTGACATTCGTACTGTATTATTTTATAGGCTT